GATTTGTGATGTCATTCCTTTAACCACTTATGGGTGGTAGTTTACTAGTGGGTTATCTTTTTCTACCGTTTTTTTTTCTCCCAAAATTTTGCAGGTCAATAAATATAATTTGCTACAATTGTGTATCTATATTTGACGTAGATAAAGAGAACCCCAACGGTGTCCTTAAGGCACTTTGCTGTACATGTGCTACTCTTATGATTGCTGAGAGATCTTTATCCATAACTGTCTTATGTACTGATAGAGCTGATGCTTCTGACTGCCACAATAGAGGATGCCTACAATACAGTCATCTGAATAAATTAGGACACCCCATGAAATATTTAGTTAATTTTTAAGAAATATCAACATATCAGTATTAAATCTTTTTCAAATTATATCTGTAGGTAAAGGTGACGTAATTGCATCATCTATGCAAAAACAAGAAACAAATTCACTTATTTACAAAAAGAAATTAAGATTCTAATTTCCACTGAGGAAAAAGTTAGGACACCCTCACATTCATCACTATTTAAAATACCTAGAATTTTAATCAGGTGGCATCACATCAGGGGAAAATGATTAGAACATCGTTAAAGAGCTTTTTGGTGGAGCCTGTTGAATTTAACCCGCAGACATATAGTTTGGTTTGCTCTTGATTGTTGAAGTGAGTGGTATCACCATGGTGAGATTCAAAGAGCTCTCTGAGGCCTTCAGAAAGAAGCTTGTAGATGCATATGAGTCTGGGAAGGATATTAAAAGATCTCAAGAGAGTTTGGAATCAGCCATTCCACTGTCTGGAAAATAATTTACTTTTAAAACAACTGCCAGCATGACCAGGGCAGGCTGTCCTAGCAAGTACAGCCCAAGAGCAGACCGTCAGATGCTGAAAGAAGTCTCCAAAAATTCTAAAATCTTATCACGGGTCATACAGGAAGCACTTGTCACAGTTGATGTCAAGGTACATGCATCTACCATCAGAAAGAGACAGCACAAGTTTGGTTTACATGGGAGCTGTGCAAGGAGGAAACCCCTGCTGTCAAAAACACATCTGGGCAACACTGAAGTTTGCCAGAGACCCACCTAGACAAAGACTGGGATTTTTGGAACAACATGCTTTGGACAGATGAATCTGAAAATGAATTATTTGGGCGCAGTAACTGAGGACAGAGAGTTTGGTGTAAACCAAAGACAGCTTATGAGCAAAAGAACCTCATACCAACTGTGAAGCATGGAGGTGGAAATGTCATGGTTTGGGGCTGCTTTGCAGCAGCAGAGCCCAGCCACCTCACCATCACAGAATCCACTAGGAATTCTAGGAATCAGAGGGTGCTTGATGACAATGCGAAAACATCTGTCCAGAAGTTGAAGCTGAAGTGGGGGTGGACCATGGAAATGATCTAAATCAGTGGTCCCCAACCTTCATTTCGTCACGGACCGGTTTAATATCAGAAACTATTTTCACGGCCTGGCCTTTAAGGAGTGGCAGATAAATATACGTATTTTTACGAATAAATGATACGTATAAAAATGGGGATATTTGAAAAATATAATAATGGGGTATCTTTAAAATATAATAATAAACGTAAATCCAATGTGTATTCGCAGCTTTAACAGCATCCTCATAACATCGAGCCAACAATATAACACGGGTAACATCCACTCAGCACGCTAATGCTCTCTGGTCGCCATGGTAAACTTTGAACATCTTCATAAAATAATTCAAGATTTACCACAAAAACAAATACAAAGTGCATAAAAAAATATGACTGAATCAGTGAGAGCCTTGGGCCTGTTTCTCTGCAGCGAGCCTCTGCCATCTAGGGCTGATGGGAGACAATGACACGTCATTTGAAAGCCGATTGCCACATATTACGCAGAGCGGGCTTGGTGCATGGGAATCGCTGGTTGCAATAAATCCAAATTTTAAATAGGACTCCTGGTACTGTCTGTTAAAATTAGCTTTCCTCTTAGACGTAGTAGGCTCCTCTTCTGTATCCTCACTGGGTCTTTTCCCCTTTCCAAAGAAACGATCAAGAGACATTTGCTTTTTATACATCTTACTAGCTTGTGGGACTATTTTTAGCGGTAACTATCACGTGACCGAAGTTTTGAATTTTTTCTGTGCAGCCCGCGGACCGGTACCACATGACACGCGGCCCAGTACCGGTCCGCGGCCCGGGGGCTACTGATCTAAATCATTCTAGTAACTCTAGCAAAGAATGGCTTACAAGAAAGAAATGGAGAGTTCTGGAATGGCCAAGTCAAAGCCTGAATCTGAATCCTATTGAGACGCTGTGGGGTGATTTGAAGCGGAAGTGCATGCAAGACACCCTTCAAACATTACACAGCTTAAGGAATTCTGCATTGGAGAGTGGGGAAGCCTTTCTGCCAGCCGATGTCAGAGATTGATAGATGGTTATAGGTAGTGCTGGGCGATAAAACAATCTCGATTTTTTTTATCGATAAAAAATGAGGACGATCACGATGATACACACAGACTATAAAACTCGATCAACCAAGTTTGCTCCGTTTTAGAGAGTGCGCTGAGACAGACAACTCGATGGCCTATCGAGCAGAGGTTTACTGAACGCCAGCATAACAGCCAATCACCGGCGACGTTGTAATTTTGCCATAGACCATTTCTCTTTGGTATTTCTCTAGTTTTGCATTTTGCTAGTGCCCTTGTCACTACCGGTAGCATGAGGCAGTACCTGCAGCCCATTCAGGTTGCACAGGTAGACCAGATCCTCCGGGATGGGACATCCATATGTGCCGTCGGAAGGCTTGCTGTGTCTTCTGGCACAGTTTCAAGAGTGTGGAGGAGATACCAGGAGACAGGCCTTTACACAAGGAGAGCTGGACAGGGGTATAGAGGGGCAACAACCAAACAGCAGGCCTGGTATCTTCTGCTTTGCATGAGGAGGAACAGGAGGAGCACTGCCAGAGCCCTACAAAATGATCTCTAGCAGGCCATTTGGGTGCATGATTCTGACCAAACTGTCAGAAACATACTATTAGGGTGGCATGAGGGCCTGAAAGCCCTCTAGTGTCACCTGTGCTCACAGCCCAGTACAGTGTAGCTCGACTGGCATTTGCCAGAGAACACCCATATTGGCAGGTTTATCACTGGTGCCCCATTCTCTTCACAGATAAGACCAGGTTCACAATGAGCACATGTGACAGATGTGAAAGTGTCTGGAGATACTGTGGTGAATCCATTCACAGCTCAAATCTTGATCCATTGCTGCACCTTAGGCTGGGGTCATGGGCCCTGAATTCCTCCAGGTCAAGGATGATGTCCTGCCTGGTGGCCAGAGTGTGTAAGCGGTTCCTGGATAACGAAAGTGCCAATACCTTGGTGTCGATACCGTTGACTGGCCCCCATGTTCTCCAAACCAGAATCCAATCAAGGACCTATGTATTGGTGCATCAAATGCCACCAAGTAGCACCACATACTGTCCAGGAGCTCACTGATGCCCTGATCCAGGGTTGGAAGGAGATCCCCCAGGATTCCACCCGCCATCTCCTCAGGAGCATGCCCAAACGTTGCTGGGAATGCATACAGGCATGTGGGGGCGATACACACTACTGAGCCACATTATGAGCTGTTGTGATGAAATTCACGCCAGTTAGATCAGTCTGTGATTTCAGTTTTTTACTTTACTTTTCTGTGTGATTTTGAATGCAGCCGTCAGTGGGTTAAGGATTTTAGTTTCCATTGACCGGTTTTATGTCATTTTATTCTCAATGAATTGAAAAAATGTATATCACTAATGATTATCAACTTGAATATTTTGTTCATCAAGATATGATGTGTGAAGTGTCACCTTTTTGAGCAGTGTACAATCCAAATATGGCAAAATATATCAAATATTATCATAGTACATTAATGGAAAAAAGTAAATTTCCTGTGCAATAACAGACGGGGTAGATGATTTGGCATTTTGTTGGGGGTGAGGACTTTCTGTTGCATGTGTTCCCATAGACTGGTACTCCCTGTATCTGTTGGGAAATGGAAAATGGTTGTATGAATTGGGTAACACTGACATAACCATACCATTGTCTAAATGAGTTAAGTATTTATAGAAATTCTGCTGCCTTTTTATGCAAAATGGTTTATTATTTCTATGTTCCTTTGTGCTTTCCTTAAATAGTTTAGTATAAGCCCTGAATCCCTATAACCCTACCTGGATAAAAGGCAAAAGAAAGTGGATGAATGTATATTAATTCATCCACATTAAAATGCATTCCGAGAAGCAGATTCTTTTCATTACGGAATTATGTTTACATCATACACTATATGGACAGAAGTGTTGGGACCTCTGGCCATTACACCTGCAGGAACTTTTGACATCCCATTCAAAATCCATAGGCATTAATGTGGAGTTGGTCCCCCATTTGCAGTTATAGCAGCTGCCACTCTTCTGGGAAAGCTTTCTACAAGATATTGGAGTCTGTTTCTAGGAATTTTGGTAGATCAGGTACTGATGCTGGACATGAAGGCCTGGCTCACAATTTCCGTACTAATTCATCCAAAAGGTGTTCGATGGGGTTGAAGTCAGGGTTCTGTGAGGGCTAGTCAAGTTCTCCCACACCACACACTTACCCAACCATGTCTTTATGGACCTTGCTTTGTGCACTGGGATACAGTCATACTGGAACAGAAAAGGGCCTTCCTCAAACTGTTTCCACAAAGTTGGAAGAATAGAATTGCATTAAGAGTTCCCTTCACTGGAACTAAGGGGCCTTGCCCAACCCCTGAAAAACAGCCCCATACCATTAAAAATGAAAGGCTCTTGTGCTTGGCTAAATAATCTAAATAGCCTCACATCACCCAGCGCAATGCCAAGCATCAGATGGAGTGGCGTAAAGCACACTGTCACTGGACTCTGGAGCAGTGGAAACATGTTCTGTGGAGTGATAAATCACACTTCACTGCTCATCTAAAAATCTGATAGATGGGTTTTTTTGGTTGCCAGGCCCCACTGCATTGTTCCAACTGTAAAATTTGGTGGAGGAGGGTTACAATAGTTTGTAAAACCTGAAGTAGCTCAAAGTGTCCTCTCTGACATTGATTATTTGGTCACCCTATCAAAGTGTTTGAAGAGTGGGGAAAAATAGGTTCTGGTATTTCCCTTCTTATTCAGTTCTGGCAGATAATAAGAGGTGCTGGTAGTACGTACTGCAGAGTACAGGCCCACATCAAGCACTGGATATTCTGCACTGTAATCTGCTATATCATATACAGTATGTATGATGTATATGATTGACTGCGCACAATAAACATCAAGTTACATAAAGTTTCCTACCAACTTCGAAGAAAACGATGTCGACGATGACGAAGCTAAAGCCTATTAGTACTCCGTTCCTGTAGGTGGCGCTACAGTGGATTTATCGCACCACCGCGCCGATAATGACAGCCCGTACAAACAACCGAAGTAGAAGCTTTGGTAACGTCACCAACGTACTATCCGTTGCTCACTGGTTGGCGGAATATTTAAATTGAGAAATAGGATAAAGTTGCCGAGTTATTGTAAGCGGTAATGTAACGACAAATTTTGTTCTTTCTGTTTTATATATTAATTTAATAAAGTTTGTAGCATATAGAGAACACTCAGTTCGCTTGTGTAGGTGTTAATGAATAATAAATAGATGCTTCTTAGCGCGCGCCGCGTACTAATATCTTCGCTTTGTTTTTTCTCTTTTTCATTATTCATTTCCCAAGTAGTCTGTTATTGCGGGTATATGTGTGTTTGTGTTTTGCTCAGTTTGTATTATTTAATCTAACTCCGGTATTGTGTTGTTATTCTGCGCTGCCGTTCGGTTCTTTGTCTGTACCATACTTTATAACTAATTGCTTGATTAAAGATTTACCTTATCTGAGTCAACTGTAGGGCAGCTTAAGCGCCTCTGAAATTAAAAATAGTATAGATGAAATGCTGCTGGTGTTCCTTGAGCCCTTCTTTCATTAGCAGGACGAAAGATGAATCGGGCATCCAGTAGCCGGCAGTCGGGGTTGCCTCTCAGGGTGGCTGACGGCAGGATGAGCATGATCAACGCCACGCCGCAAAGGTAACTACTGGCGCCTGCCCATATCCCATTTGCCGTGTGTCTGTCTGTCTGTATGTTTCTGTGTGGGTTTGCATAACCTGAAACTTCCTTACTTTTGGGGACACTTCTTCAGGTCCCCATTTGGATAATCTAATTTTTACGAAAATCTTTGAATGGATTCACAAAAGTGAAAGTGCCAAAAGTCTTGTATTTTGCCTGGTTACTTATGGTTAAGGTTAGGGCTAGGTAGAGGTTAATGGTGTTGTGATTGGTTAGGGTTTTTCCCATAGAAATGAATGGACGGACCCCATTTAGATAGGAAGACCAACTTGTGTGTGTGTGTGTTCGGGTCTTGAGCCCGCTGATGTTTTTGACGCAGCAAAGACTCTGCTTTCGGAAAGCTGAACATCCCGAAACCACAGTCTGGGACGTCTGACAGGAGAACCAGTTTTTTCGGGAAAAGGTAAGACTTGACAAATTTCTAATAGAAGTTTTTCTGATTCAAGGTGCTGGTGTCCTGGTGTTACTCTATAATCCCAACATATTTAGATGCACTGACTGGAGATGTAACTTAATTGGGTGCAACATTGCATCAAAAAGCTAAGCCTGGTAGTTTTTAGAACATTCCATTTGGTGTCCATAGAGGAACCTGCTTTTTGAAGACTTGGTACGCAAAACCTCATTTCAGGTTGCTTTGCATGTGATTCCATATGTGGATCTCGCAGTCTGAGCCTTGGTACTTCATTGTGAGCCCTCTGCTTTTTAGAGCTAGTGGGGCAGGCATGTCCCGTAACAGCACTTTTGGAGCTTTTGGGGGTGTGGAAAAGATGAAGGATCCTCGACCTCTCCATGACAAGTCTTTCATCCAGCAGTGTATCAAAGATCTCTG